TCATCCTGTAGCTTATATATGAAAGTGGGCTATTCTTACGTCACTACTCCCCATACCACTACGTAGAGACCATGTACATCGTTTCGGCACGTCAAATTTCATCATCATGCTCAAAATTAGGATTAAAAAAACTAAAGGAGTTTCAAAATAAGCATTAACGGAAACTGGTAGACCGTGTGATTGTGTTTAAAATTTTCATGTTTGTTAGAAAGTGGTAGACGTCATTCTAATATGTTGCATAATTCTAGTAAGCCTCATTTACTCTATGTTTATAAGTCAAAGTAATTTTCAAAGAAAAGCTACGATTTATACGCGATAGGATGTAAAGAAGGTTGAGGGAATTTAACTCTGCGACTTGCCATTTCGTATCAATTTTGAAGATCTTTACACGTTTTATGCTCATGAATATTTCAGTATATAATATTTTTTGGGTTTTCAGATATTTTATAATATATTAGTTGGCATCATCTTAAAATATCTAAGTTAATCAACTTTTATGGCTTCAACTAGAATGGTGCGATTGAATAAAATGCCTGCACACGATACTTACATAGAATCGGACGTTTTTTTTACGAAGTTTATTAAATAGTTTAAAAAATGTGTCTAATTATTTTCACGAAGATATAAACATATTAGTATAAACCACACAGAATCGATATACTATTTCATTTTTTCAAGTAATTGGTCGATACAAGCATTCCAGATATATTGATGTGCATTATTTTTTTAATAGTGATATTGATCTTTAGCATATAACTGTCAGGTGATTACCTCACGATACATTTCTTGTCAGCCAACCAAATCACACTATTAATAAAAATTAAAGACATTCAATTTGATTAGTGTAATACTTCTTATAATTCGTCTTAGAGTAAAATGAAAACTGGCCATATTGAATGTGATTCATTTAGTTTCAAAACAATTTCCATACATTTGACAGCTACTCATGAGCATCGTATCACTCAAACCATATGACTAGAAGGATATGCAAGAAACTAGTTTAACAGTGATTTTGAATACGTGTACGTCTAAAGAAAAGAATCTTCAAGCGTAGTGGGTTACTCATGGTTTCAGTGATTGCATGAAATATCTGGAAGATATATATATATATATATATATATATATATACATGAAATATTCATGAGCATAATACAACTTGTCTTTCTCAGTAATCATATTCTGATGTGGTTGATTGAAAGTGTTATTTCCGTGAAAATACTTATATCATGTTCACTGTGTTAATTATATGCGCATGCTATATTCTCATAAACGAGGCATTCATAATCAATATCACCGAGTGATTGCTGAACTATTTCACAAATTGAATAAAATTGATAGTGCAAACTACTGGTACAAACTCAGTAGTCTGATTATTGAATTGCAAATTAGCTACTCATGGAATTTAGTCCACAGACGGTTGCCTCTGTTTTGCGATTTTCAAAAATACATCAACCAATAACAGCCGTTTGAAGATTCAGCTCAAAACAAATAGAGTAGTTATTCGTATAATCACTTGACAATGTACTCTTCATCGGCATCAGTTGACATATCCGAAAATCAATATAAAGTTTCGTGTGGATTACAGCGGAACGGTAATTTACACATTTTCTCGGTTAATTATTTTGCCTGACGTGCACATTTATTGCAGATATTCCTTTCTTGCTGAATTTCCCGCTTCCTTAATAAGATCAGATTAATGAATGTTGTTTGTCTGAGACAACTTTCGACAATCTTCAACCACTCCTACCTGATATGTTCAGGTGCTGATACAGTGATCTATTACTACACAGTCAATACAGACAGATATTGGCGTTTGCAATCAAGCGAAGCCTTATTCATTTGTGTTTGTTATTTGGTGTTATATTTCATTGGTGTGTTTTGGCATATTTGCCTGTTGTGCGGATTGCCTCCAAAATCTATCAAGGCACAGATACAAACTAAATAACAATGCCTGGAATTGTTCGATATTATGCATTGAAATATTTACAACTTGTCTTTCTCAGTAATCATATTCTGATGTGGTTGATTGAAAGTGTTATTTCCGTGAAAATACTTATATCATGTTCACTGTGTTAATTATATGCGGATGCTATATTCTCATAAACGAGGCATTCATAATCAATATCACCGAGTGATTGCTGAACTATTTCGATAGTACAAACTACTGGTACAAACTCAGTAGTCTGATTATTGAATTGCAAATTAGCTACTCATGGAATTTAGTCCACAGACGGTTGCCTCTGTTTTGCGATTTTCAACAATACATCAACCAATAACAGCCGTTTGAAGATTCAGCTCAAAACAAATAGAGTAGTTATTCGTATAATCACTTGACAATGTACTCTTCATCGGCATCAGTTGACATATCCGAAAATCAATATAAAGTTTCGTGTGGATTACAGCGGAACGGTAATTTACACATACTCATATATATTTGTCCAATCGCAATATTCTTTGTTAAGACACTTGACTATTATTTTAATTTTGTTTCTAATAACGATTAATTCACTGCAAATAATTTGTTTACTTATTAAATAAGAATAATACATTCATGTTCCTCCACTTCAGTCATTGTTACAATGATGCGTTCAGATTTCATGTTATGAAAATAAAGTGATTTGCTACTATCCAACAAAATAGTATAATGACAGTAAATTTACATTCGTTCAAATCATGTAGATGTGAACATTTGCAAGTCACTAGAATTGAAGACGAAATATTCTCGGTTAATTATTTTGCCTGACGTGCACATTTATTGCAGATATTCCTTTCTTGTTGCATTTTCTGCTTCCTTAATAAGATCAGATTCTTATTTGTAGTTTTTCAGACACAAATTTCGACTATCTTCATGTACTTCAACCTGATATGTTCAAGTGCTGATACAGTGATCTATTACTACACAGTCAATACAGACAGATATTGGCGTTTGCAATCAAGCGAAGCCTTATTCATTTGTGTTTGTTATTTGGTGTTATATTTCATTGGTGTGTTTTGGCATATTTGCCTGTTGTGCGGATTGCCTCCAAAATCTATCAAGGCAGAGATACAAACTAAATAACAATGCCTGGAAAGTTTCAGTAGTGTTTATTTAGTATTTACAACGTCTCTCTCTCAGTAATCATATTGTGGTATGGATGACTGAAAGTGTTAATCTTGCTAAAATGTTAAACTTGTTTTCACTGTGTTCATTATTTGAATAAAGTCGTTTGTGTAGACTACTTGATAATAAATCAGTAGTTTGATTATTGAATTGGGAATGAGCTGCTCATGTATTTGCATTCGCTATCGGTTGCCTCGCGATTTTTACCAATTCCGCAAATTCAGCCTATTATATAAACAGAATAATACAAATGAAGTTGTTTTTCATATAATTTCTTCAAAATTTACCTTACATGGCCATAAATAAGCCAGTGTATAAATCATTTTATCGTTTTTTGTCGATCATAGCGGAGTTTATTTTACACATACCCATATATTAGTCTAATCACCGAATTAGTTTTAACGACATTAAACTATTATTTATATTTTTTTTCAATATTCATAAATTCAACGGCGCTTATCTGTATATTTTCACACAAATATATTCTTTTAACTTCTAATAAATACATTCAGGTTTACGTTCAATAATATTTTTACTATTTGTCGGAAACCAGCTTGATGGATTTTCTTGCGAATGTGCATAATCGACCCAAATATTGACAGGACATCTATTTGCTGAGCATAAATATCTTGATACAATAAAATAAGTTCATATGTATTTGACAGTTTCAGTTTTCTAAATCAACAGTGGAAATATCATTTTCGCAGAAACATACAGGTTATCAATAAAATGGTGAAGTTCGTATGTGTTCATTTCTTTCGACTTAAAATTTTTGCGACGCGTACTTTAGTTCTATGTTTCTGTGAATAATAAACGAAAAGATTCAAATACATTCTTATTATTGGAAATATGCAATTAGAATTATTTCGATGGATGTTCGTAAACGTCACTTGAACTTTATTTGATCAATTTCAAAAGATTTACCAAGAAAAAAACTCATCCATCTCAAAATATCGGAACGAACATTCAAAAAAAAAGAAAAAGACAACGTGAAAAATAATACATGAAAAAGAACATCGTATGTTTAAAATGACAAACAGAAAAGGCTGAGAAAATCTACGACAGAGCGCAGTAATAAACGACATATGTGTCAGTGCTGTGTGCATCAACCACGCTGTTGCCAATTAGGTAACACCCTTTTTTGTAAAAGCATTATTCTTTTCCAAATTTTTATGTTTATTCACAATATATTTTACAAATGAAGCTAAAGTTTATCTTCATAATGACCTCTCAGCATTCAAATTAATCTTCAGAGATGTTTGTCATAAAAAATAACAAAAGAGAGTCACATTTGTATTATAGTAGGTTTAAAGAATTAACACGCATACTATTGTTTTTTTAATAATGTCATTTACATATCATCTGATCGGATCACAGCATTGGCAACGATTCCGATAGATAAGCTCACTTCATTTAACAGTTGTTTGAGTGACTTTATTGAAAAACAAACAAGTACAATATAAACTGGTTTCTATGTGACACAGAATTGACAGCTTCTCGCATTTCCGGGAAGAAAGTGCTATGCAATAATATCAATTTGCTAATCATGCTTTGACGTTGAACAATTAAACATTTTACTGATATTCACAAGACTTCACACCAAGGAGTAATTTTTTATCACTTGCTGACTTGTGGACAGCTGCGATTGAATTGACGCTGTTCTTCTCAGTAGTTGTCGACATCATATCTATATATGTTTGGTTTAGAAAAAAAATCAATATAACCAATAAACCATGGTGAGGCAGTGGAGCGCAATAAGTTATACAACAAATGCTATATTGAAGGTTGCATCAGTAGTTAGGAGAGAAAGCGTTAGATAAAGAGATTGCAAACGCTCAATATCCTTTGTTTCATACAGAATATACGCATTTGTGTTGAATATCATAGGGGATCGTCACGAATGTCTAGTTCTGCCAAGATTCAAATTGATACGTCAAATTTATCAGCTGATGATTTCAACGAAAACTCACGATATTCTTTCCTTCATAATATCCATAAGGTATTGATAATAAATTATTTCATCAAACGCTTCACTACAATCTGAGGTCACCAAACATCACAATTTGAATAAATACATAGACCAACGTCAGTGAATATCATCATACATGTCTATTGTCCTCTAAGATTTTGATATCCTTATCTGCAGATATATTGATAATCTTTTCCACTGCGCTTTTTCATGGCACTGCATTTCTGTCCTAACTGCTCATGAATACACAATGACAGTGCGCGATTCATTCATCTAATACCCACCATAAGATATCGAACAAGCAGAACACAATAATTTGTTCAGTTGACACTCCTGGTCAGGAGCTGAAATTAGTAAAAAATAGCTCACACAATAAAGCAAAGGACCCTAAACGCAAACATAATTGGGTACAAGTTTGATTTAATTAGGAAGTCAGAAACTTCATAAAGATGAGCGAAAACATTCACGAATGCATTCAACACAATGTAATTCACGTTGAACGTATCAAGCAATTCAGCGATATCTATTCATATGAAGAATATGTTAATTGAGTTTGACTATGCTTTATGATTTTCTATTTCAGCTGCCTCCCTGCATATATATTTTTCAGACGATCCATACTGCATCTCAATGAAAGAATGTGAGAATAGCCGTCGGCATGTTTCACGGACGGACGTTGTTGTGAACGTTGGAGCCTCTGAACCCGATCCATAAATGCCGCATTTAGGACTTCACGTTTGCGACAATAAGCTGATTAGTTGACCGTGATATTTTAATTTTGGATAAGAAAATCCTTGTCGGTGATTGACTGCTGTGCATTTAAGTATGCGAATTCGTGACTGTCCCAAGGACGTTTCTATGATGCAAAAATAAACGAGATATGTCTGCTTGATTGTGTTGTGCTTGCTGGTTGTTTGTATGTCTGAGAGAAACACTAGAGCTTATTCTTTGAATGAACAGCATATGTACTAGTGTTGTGTGCATCAACCACGCTGTTGCCAATTAGGTAACACCCTTTTTTGTAAAAGCATTATTCTTTTCCAAATTTTTATGTTTATTCACAATATATTTTACAAATGAAGCTAAAGTATATCTTCATATTGACCTCTCAGCATTCAAATTAATCTTCAGAGATGTTTCTCATAAAAATAACAAAATAGAGTCAAATTTTTTATACAGTAGTGTTAAAGATATCACACGCATATTATTATTTTAAATAATGCCATTTACATATCAGACTGAGTTTATTGCACACACATCTCTGAAGATTAATTTGAATGCTGAGAGGTCAATATGAAGATATACTTTAGCTTCATTTGTAAAATATATTGTGAATAAACATAAAAATTTGGAAAAGAATAATGCTTTTACAAAAAAGGGTGTTACCTAATTGGCAACAGCGTGGTTGATGCACACAACACTAGTACATATGCTGTTCATTCAAAGAATAAGCTCTAGTGTTTCTCTCAGACATACAAACAACCAGCAAGCACAACACAATCAAGCAGACATATCTCGTTTATTTTTGCATCATAGAAACGTCCTTGGGACAGTCACGATTTCGCATACGTGAAGTCCTAAATGCGGCATTTATGGAGCGGGTTCAGCGGCTCCAACGTTTACAACACCATCCGTCCGTGAAACATGCCGGCGGCTTTTCCCATATTCTTTCATTGAGATGCAGTATGGATCGTCTGAAATATCTATATGCAGGGAGGCAGCTGAAATAGAAAATGCATCCTTATATATGATATAGTTTACGTACTGAAACATAATATACAAATGTGCAAATCGATTTTCGGAAGACTAATATACTGACAGTATTGTGAATAATCATTTATGTTGCATAAATTTATCAATAAAAATAATGGTAATCTTATTCATAATTATTAGTGTGTACTTGATAATTTAGTGTAGAATAATAACTGGAATTGGCAGAAAATTACGAACTAATAGAGAATGCGAAACTTATTCTCATCAGAAGAAAATATGAGTTACAACCAAAAAATAGCTAAAAATTTATTCGGCTGTCAAGTGGATAGGTATGTCAAGTAATTATTCTGTTCTCGTCCAGTCAGTATGAAGATACGAATTCTAATTGTTTCCACTGTATGTACGAGATGGGGTTAAACTCCGTCGGAAATACTTAAAGATAAATGAGAGACCCCCAATACGATCGCTATCAACCGGATGTGCTAATCGGGAACTTTTTATTGTTTCTTTCAGCTGTTAGTTCCGTCAGTTGTACTGCATGAAAAGTTTACAGGTTCCCCTTAGTCGATGCACAAGAATGAGAAATTGAACGAGCCACCAGGTAGGCTGCCTTCATCCGAAACGTCAGAAGAGAAGTATTGATCAGCTAAGAAAATATATTTTTCAAACAATCAGCAAACAGAATGCAATCATGCCTACAAATCTTGTTTATTTATGCATCACAGAAACGTCTTTGAGACAGTCACAAAAGTAAGTTTACGAGAGCTGCGTTGAGATCTGTAGAAAAGTCTGCACATTCAGGTATCGTGTCATTGGCTTTCTTAACAACAACTTAAGGTGAAAGAAACGGTAGTAATAAATCCTTGTTATTGAAAGCGATCTTATAATTCTTCTACTGTTGCTAATGTTGCATGTGGTACGGGTCTCTTAAAACGTATAGCAAGATGGGCCACCGATTTCCAGCAAACTGTAGCTTTCATGGCTGTTCGTCGACCTAATCTTTATTGTAAAATTGTTGAAAATTGCCTCATTAGATTACATGCATATGCTTCGGGGTCTTATCGTCGTGATACCGATTGTCATATGGTATTTTACAATCTTAGCTCGTCGAACCAATCTAAAATTAGTAAATTAATATCAGCTGTTGTTTTATAATATACATCAGTCAACGAGGAGTTTCGAATGCTTAGTTTACATTCCAATCGTGCTAACAGATGAATGTAACTACTACATGAATCAAGAGGCTTCAGCGTCAGGTGCTGCTGGCTTGGTCTGCCCATACACGTCTAATTTTTTCGTAAGCCGATGGTGACATGAAATGAAGTTTCTACTTGCAATTTAAACAAATGCTCGCGAAAAATAAGAGAAACAAATGTATTTTTACCTGATGATGAGCTGAGAGAGTAAGATAATCGACTGAAAGAAATGATACCGCATCTCGTAACAGACTAATTGGCACTTCTGGATCGGTTGGGTTTTTTCTTTCGGTAAAATTCATGTTTACAATCGACGATCGAATACTTTATGCATTGATGTCGCCTGAAAGTGCGTTTTCGTACATAGTGCTATGTGTCGCAGTTCCAGCACGTAGAAGGGGAATCATTCTCGTATTTCGAGATGAGCTGAAGTGAGATGAACTGGGTGTAGTAAGGGCACTTTTATTCTGATTTTATAGCGGCTTGAACCACAGCTCTGAACTATTGTCTTGTCTCGATGTATACTAATAAGGAATAAACGAGAAAGAACCCTTCCGAAACAATAATTCATCTAGGGATTTGGATAAAATGTAATTTTCTCCTGTATACGTCAATAACTACAGTCGAAAGCCTTGCGATCAATAGCTCATAAGATTACAAGAAAAAGACTGAACACTTAATAGATGTAAATTGTAGAGATAAAATTAAAAAAAAACAGTCGCCTAGTTATCCATATATTCTGGAGTCGGGAATTCTTAAACGTAAGGTATAAAATTCACATCAACAAAATCAGTTTCATAGCAGACATTGGTAACTAATCGATCGAAACGCTTACTGTTCATTTAGTATTGTGTAGCGCCTTAGAACCTTTGATTAGGAATGAGAGTTTTTCAACTTCATTCGTCTAGTTTTGCCGTTTAGGCTTTGACAGTGGATCATTGTTCATTCGGTTCATTTCGTGGGAACCATCGCCTATGAGTAAAACTCTAATAAGATTGTCTAGTACTTAAGCTACTAACAATTATACTGTCAATATTATTTTATTAATCAACTGAATAAAAATGTGTCACTTCATACAATCACATAACATCTGACATTAGAGTTAGATTATCTTAAAATTAATTGGTTATTAGTTAATAACCTTTTATGGATTTGTAAATACTGGCCATTCAAACAATCATTCAATAGGCTTTTTGTTTTAATTCACCTAGAATGTAATCAATTCTCATCATGTTATAAATACCAATTCACAGAGAATAATGAAATTGGCAGTGAAAATGTGGTTTTCAAATATGATTCTGATAGCCTTGATGGTTCATCTAATTTTTCATGAATCTATAGAAGAGGAGAGTAAGCTATCATCAGACACACAAAAGCAATTCTGTTTGAAGTATATGATTTGTATTTCTTTTTGTTTCATGAGCCTAAACATATAAGAAACAACTGTACACATGTGTCGATATCCATGATAACAATTATTCATGTTCCACGTTACAAGCTGTGATAATTTTTTCCTTCATTCCTGACGTATAAGGTGTAAATCAATATGTTTCTTAGGTGTTTTCGCATTTGTTTTCCTCTTTTAACTGTTGATCACGGACGATTGTGAAAGATGAGAAATTGACAGACCTTTTAGATGTCACGATAATAAAATAATTATTTACAGAAGAATATGAATTTTCTTCTGTTTTTTTTTTCGTTCTTAGTTTCCTCTGAGCTCAAAACAAGAGTACTGGAAGAAATGATGGCTGTCAATAGTAAGTAACAGATTTTATGTCTTTATGTCTAATTTTTAAATAATCACATAACTTCAAGTTGCAAATGTGATATAATTTTGATTTTTATATAATTCTTCAAAAGCATAAGTTTTCGCGCACATGCAGAACACTGGTTACAGTTTTGTTTTAAAAGACTGAATTTTGCATTAAGCATATTTAAAATAACCTAAAGCAAAATGATAATAATATTGTTATTGTTTCAAATTGGACAATTTACAGACTCAATTAAAACTCAATACAACTTTGTAAAGCAAAATCAAGAAATTATCAAAAAACTTAAAAGTAAGTACAGAATAATGGTATTATATGTTTTTGAATATGCAATAAACGTTTTGTCTGTTGATCGTTTCTATTGTCATCATAGATGAATTAGCTTCATTGAAGGAGCTTTGTTTATTCTAAACTATGAGTTCATAAATCTATCAGATTTTCTTGTATTTTCATTGATAGGCCTTGACTATATTTTGTAATCGATAAAATGATTTATATAATATTACATTCAATAACCGTTTATTTTCTGTTTCTTATTTTTAATTTGATTTGTTCAGCATCGATTTTCAAAAGAGTTCCTGCTGACAGACAATCCGTAGAGAGTTGTACGTGCATTAAAAAAACCCACATTTTCAATAAATAATCTTATCTTTTCTAGATTCAAAATGTGTAAATGAGAAAGCAAAAAAAAATGTGCAAGTGACCTTGAGAAACGTATGTTGAAAATGCATTTTTTTTTTAGAAATTCAATCAGTAGAAAAAAATGTTACGAGACGTTTTATATATATTGACTACCTTCTGCAGTCGATATTATAATCATACGAATCTTTGCTAATATTGTAATCAATAAAACGATTCATATAATATTATGATAACTAATGATTTCTTGTTTATTTCTTATTTTCAATCTAATTTTGTTCTGCATCGATCTGTGAAAAAAGTTTCTGGGGACGAAGTATCCATGGATTGGTGTATGTGCAATAAAAAACTCACATTTAAAATAAATAATAATATCTTTTCTAGATTCGAATTGTGTAAAAAAGTTAAAAGAAAAGAATTGTAATGGATATTTTAAGAATGGTATGATGAAAATGCATATTTTGAAAATTTCAATCAGTTAGAAAAATGTTACGAGAATTATATATAAACATATTGTGACTGCCTTTTGCAGTCAATATATAATCACACAAATCTTTGCGAATATTTTATTCAATGAAACGATTCATATAATATTATGATAACTAATGATTTCTTGTTTATTTCTTATTTTCAATCTCATTTTGTTCTTCATTGATCTCCGAAGAAGTTCCTGACGACACACAATTATTAGATAGATGTATGTGCAACCAAAAACTCATAGTTTTAATAAATCATATAATCTTTTCTAGATGTGAATTGTGTAACCAAGGAAGCAGAAAGAAAACGTCACGGTGATCTTTTTAGAGGTATGTTGAAAATGCATTTTTAAGGATTTCAATTAGTAGAATAAAATAATGCTAGAAATCATATAAAAAAGTGACGACATTTTGTAGTCGGTATATGGTTAGGCGAATCTTTGCTAATATGTTATTGTTTAATATTCTTTTGTCTTAGGAATAATGTTCATAAATCCTTCAAACATAATAGGCTCAGCAGGTTTTCGCACTCGTTCACACATCTAGTTGAACTAATAGTGTTATATTTTTCATCTACTGATCAACCGAGTCGACTGTGATTCCGTGACTTTGAAAACAGTCAGACTTACACAGATAGGCGTCATCATTCTTCTTCCTGGCTACTTGGATAGAGTTCTAATGTTTTGAATGAATTGTTCTGATAACTTTTGGATGAAATTAAACCTTCGGAATATCAAGTCAGCACCAATGATTAACAACGTGAATGTGCAGTAGACATAAAAAAGCCTCCTTTGAGAAGCTTGTAGGACAAATAAAAAAACAGAAAACCTTAGGAATACATAAACAAGAGAATAAGTGACAGACGTGAAAGCAATGCACAGCGTTTGGAGGTAAATAGAAAACAACTACCTCGACAAGATATTGCAGAAAATGTTTTTCGAAGTAAAACAAAGATCAATTGGTTTAATTCAGTATGTTTGTTTCAGACTGAGGAGGATGCCTTAAAATATTAAAATATGAGATAAACTTCTTACTAGATCAGAAAGATATCATCACAATCTGATGTCAGTTATGAAAATTAGGCGCGGTTAAATGTATGCCAAAAAATGTCTATGGATAACGAAACTCATTGACGAAGATAGTTAATTGTTATGTAACATAACCAAAATCTATTGTAATTAGAACGCTGTGATTGATTGATATAAAAACACTTTAAATTCGTTTATTTGTTTTATAATTTCCTTCTTGTTAATAAAGAATTTGTAAGTGTATTGGATTCTACAGAACAGAAATTCAGTAAGTGTTTACAATGAACAAGTTTTTTGTTCATAAACGATAAAAAAAAATATTAACAGATCAACTATATCATTTGTCATATATAGAGAAACTTTTAAGTGCAGTTTTTTTTTTTGAGTAATTGATGATTTTGTGAGTCCATATATATTTCACTGGTCACATTGATAATTCTTTAGAGAATTTTATGACCTCATATTTTAAACAACATCATACTTCAAAAATTTTCTTTTCAAAAATCTATAACTACACTTGACTTCATTGCAATTATGTGTAGACGTTAAAATTGTCAACTCATCTGAAATAAAATCATGTTTCAAGACAAAGGAGGGAATTTATGAAAGTTAGATTATATTTATTTTGACAAATGTGTTCTATAAAATGTTTAATTGTAACTTTTGATGAATAATGTTTAAATGGATATACATGCCTAATTTTAAATAAGGATTCATTGCTTTTTTGTCAGCGTCAAAAAATTTTTTGATTTTTTCCTCATTTATATCGTCAACAACGATCTACATGATTCTGCAAACAAAAATCATGAAAAGTTTTTAATTCTATCTAGCTCCATGGGGATAGTCTTGAATTCGTTTTGAGAAAATAGGATCAGTTAATTAAGATCATGTTGATAGAAGCAGTAACTGCCGTAGAAAACATTTTACGTCAGATGGATGCATAATAATGACGAATGACTGACTATTCAGTGATACTGTTTTTTTATGATCGTCTGATACTGATCTTAGTTCATTAAGGAATGGAATTTATCATACAAACCAAATTATCAATATAGCATAGACTTCATTTAAATACAATAATTTTGAAGAGTGTAATTGGTTTTTTTTAGATACTCCAATTGATTTCAGTGCATGTCCCGTACCAAAACAGTTTAATAATAATGGTACGTTTTTATTTATTAAAGCTATAAAATTTGTTTCATTTTATATATATGATTTCAATAAAATTTGGTACTTTATCAAGTTTAAGAAATGAGTACTATTATTATCAAACGATCCTTCAATTGCGTATACTGGAAATTTACCGTGACAGTCAACTTAATAGTATATTTATTTAGGTTTTTACAAAATAAGAAAATGTAAACGATATTTTGAAGCTTATCGGATAATAGGCTTAGTGTTGTAAACAGTTTCGTTACTCCTGTTAAGGAAGTATAAAATGTAGATGAGGTTGCGCAAGATCCATTATCGGCCTTAACACTGATGAATTATCCCGGAGGAAACAACGATAGGTTCAAGATTTCAATAAAACTCATTTCATTCATTGGTAGCTTCATTAGCATATTTGAGAATTTCGAGCTCAATTTGTGAAAGATTATAAATATTGCAAATGGGTCAGGATGAAGTTGATTCAATAAACACTCCTGATATTTTTCATATTCTCAAATTCATCGACGGTCAAAGTTGTTTGCATTCTAGATATATTAGGACTGAAAACACTATGAATAACGTCGATCCTTTTCTGTTACAAATAACGTTGCTAATTTAAATGTTTTATGATAAAAAGGTCGATTTTCTTCAGGATATATCATATTCAGCTAATTCAGTCTATCATGCTTGCAAATAAATGGTAATAAACCATGAATTTTTCTTTGACCTCATATGCCCCTGTAAAAATAGTTGTACTTGTTCTACCCTAACCTAAAACGAGAACACCATGAGTTTTGATAACCGAGAAAAAATGTTTCTGCTGAAATGTTTGATTGTACATGCTAAAAAGTGATAGAAAGTGGTCATTGATATTAATTCTTTTCTGTATAATGCAAACAAATATAGTCAAAATCAATAAATTCATTTGGTTACAGTTGCAGTTGAATTGTCAAGAACAATAACAATGGAACGTATCTACTTAAGTTTTCTTGATAAATATATGTGTAAGTATTGACGATAGTTGAGTATTCACAATTCATTATTTCTCAGCTTTTCGATTTCGAAATGCATTCTCTAAGATTTTTAACTTTTAGAGTTAAAATAATTACTAGATCTAGGCTTCAAGAGAAATGTTTAAAAAACGACAGCGACTTATAGCCATATAAATCTAGGTATTTTTCCAGAGCTTGGATTTAATTAAGAAAAAAATTGAAGTTCTCCATAATCAGTTCATCTCTAATATCAATATTCATGCGCTTACTAGTGAATAGTTTCATGATGTTTTTCCTATAGTTCTATTGAGAAGTCGTAATCACTGGAACTAAAACTGCGTTTGATTGAAGCGAGAAACAACACTACACAACTATCGCCAATAGTTGAAGTATTGGAAATTCACCGGCAAAGCCGATGTTCGTATATTGTATGTTATCCTGGAACAGTTGCGGATAAAGATAGTTTGTGAATCTTGAAGTTTGATAAAGTGACTTTCCTGTAACATCGGGACTGTGTTAGTGTTTTTTCTAATAACAATTCGTCCATTCAACTTTGAAAATAAGTTGACATGAATGATGCATAAAGGTGACAAATATATTTAGTGAATTCCTGACTTCCTGATCTCCGAAGGTTTCACTGTTTTATGTTTACGTTTTTTCATAAATCTATAAACATTGTCTGACAATCATTGAATGTCTTTCATATTATTGGGTAATTATATAAACAATGATCAAACTTCGTTTGGAGCTCCATTAAACATTTCAAACTTCTAGGGCTATTACACCTACCTGTCGAGCGTTTTGGTAATGCAGAGTCACCTTTACGTAACAGTGAATAAACCTTAGTCCTCAGTTAGGACTATTTGACTATATATTATATTCGTCAAACATCCATTGATTTTTATCATTCATCAAATTTCGCCACAACTTATATCGTGTAATTTGCATTTTCAGTCTCTTATGAATTGTTATTGGCGATTACTAATCAAAAACTAATTAATTAAAAACGTAAGTGTTAGTTTATTTCAAAATCTATACGGTCGATAGTTAATCAGTAAATGATGCAATATACTATATATTGCGTAATAAACCAGAATACCGATTAGAATGATGATTAAAATGTGAAAAAGATTTGCATCACGTTAGATTTGTAGTTTTTCACTAAAGATTGACCTTTGTGAAAACGTAAATTTGAATTATTTGTATTAAATAAAAAATTTAATTGTACTGTTCCGGGTAAATTTGTATTCACACCAATCTGACATTTATGTACTATCTGTTCATTATGTGAATGTAAAGAGAATGTGATTGAGTTTCACTTAAACGATTATATCATTGTAAAAGAAGTAATAAATAATCTCTCTGATTAGTAAATTATAATCATTCTCTGATTGTTCAATAACGTCTAGACAAAACGTTATCCTACTTTCAATGTTTGTCATATATGATTTGCTACAGAACTTTAAAAATGAGTGTAAATTTAAGCAACATATTTCAGGCTAACCAGATGGTGTACTGAACGGCATTATATATTTTCATTGTTTCTACTGAAAATTAAATGTGCTGAAAAAGCAAACTAATAGAATAATGTTTCATACAAAAATGGTCAAGCAAATATTTTATAGATATAAGGCTTATTCACAACAATCTCATCATATATATGCATATATATATATATATATATATATATATATATATATGAGTCGACATTCACAAGCACGTCAACTAGTAAACGCCTGGAATCTCTTAATAACCGTTTTATCACTGTCTTCTTGCTAAGGAACTGGACTTTTTGTTCGATTGCAGCATTGAAAGTCAATAAAGTGTTGTGTACTGCATGTGAGGGTTTTAGTTATTTATATATCTTTACAACAAGTTACCACCTGTAACATTCAAATGAGTTGAGATTTTATTTACCTAGCAATAATTTTTTTGGAAT